AGCTGGCATGGTGGCGCGCACCTGTAGTTCTAGCTACTCAGGAGGCTGAGGCAGGAGAATTGCTTGAACCCGGGAGGTGGAGGCTGCAGCGAGCCACGATCCCGCCACTGCATTCCAGCCTGGTGACAAAGTGAGACTCCGTCTCAAAAAAAAAAGGAGGCCAAGGCGAGTGGATCACCTGAGGTCAGGAGTTCAAGACCAGCCTGGCCAACATGGCGAAATCCCGTCTGTACTAAAAATACAAAAATTAGCCTGGCAGTGGTGACCCATGCCTGTAATCCCAGCTACTAAGGGGGCTGAGGCAGGAGGATCTCTTGAACCGGGGAGGAGGAGGTTGCAGTGAGCAGAGATCGTGCCACTGTACTCCAGCCTGGGTAACACAGTGAGACTCTGTCTCAAAAATAAATAAATAAATACTGAAGGCCAGGCACGGTGGCTCACGCCTGTAATCCCAGCACTTTGGGAGGCCAAGGCAGGTGAATCAATTTCAGCTCAGGAGTTCCAGACCAGTCTGGGCAACATGGCAAAACCCCGTCTATACTAAAAATACAAAAACGAGTCAGGCATGGTGACACACACCTGTATTCCCAGCTACTTGAGAGGCTGAGGCAGGAGAACCCCTTGAACCCAGGAGGCAGAAGTTACAGTGAGCTGAGATCATGCCACTGCACTCCAGCCTGGACGAAAGAGCAAGAGAATCTGTCTCAATAAATAAAATAAAGAATATAAAATAAAATAAATAATAACATTTTAAATAATAAGTAAATAATAAGCAACAGAATGGAGAGGGGGTCCTATTTGCCTTGCCAGATTTTAGAGAACTTAGTATAGGCCGGGCAGGTGCAGTGGCTCACGCCTGTAATCCCAGCACTTTGGGAGACCAAGGCAGTAGATCACATGAGGTCAGGAGTTCAAGACCAGCCTGACCAACATGGTGAAACCCCATCTCTACTAAAAATACAAAATTAGCTGAGCGTGGTGGCACATGCCTGTAATTCCAGCTACTTGGGAGGCTGAGGCAGGAGAATCACTTGAACTTGAGAGGTGGAGGTTGCAGTGAGCTGAGATCACGCTACTGTACTCCAGCCTGGGCAACAAGAGTGAGACTCTGTCTCAAAAAGAAAAGAAAACTTACTATAAAACTACTGGGATGAGGTCAATGTAACATATGGAGTGGTAGACAAACCAAGGGAAACAAGAAGTAATAAATATAAATGTTCACATACAGGAGAATTATTATATGGCCAAAATTAGCATTTCCATTTAATCGGAACACATTAGATATATTTGCTATTTTTGTTATTTATTTATTTATTTTTGAGACAGAGTTTCACTCTCGTTGCCCAGGCTGGAGTGCCATGGTGTGATCTTGGCTCACTGCAACCTGGATTGAAGCGATTCTCCTGCCTCAGCCTCCCAAGTAGCTGGGATTATAGGCATGCGCCACCACACTTTTTTTTTTTTTTTTTTGCATTTTTAGTAGAGACAGAGTTTTCCATATTGGTCAGGCTGGTTTTGAACTCCTGACCTTAAGTGATCCACCCACCTCGGCCTCCCAAAATGCTGGGATTATAGGCGTGAGCCACCCTGCCCTGTCCCTATCTCTTTTTTTTTTTTTTTTTTTGAGACGGAGTCTCGCTCTGTCGCCCAGGCTGGAGTGCAGTGGCCGGATCTCAGCTCACTGCAAGCTCCGCCTCCCGGGTTCACGCCATTCTCCTGCCTCAGCCTCCCGAGTAGCTGGGACTACAGGCGCCCACAACCGCGCCCGGCTAATTTTTTGTATTTTTAGTAGAGACGGGGTTTCACCGTGGTCTCGATCTCCTGACCTTGTGATCCGCCCGCCTCGGCCTCCCAAAGTGCTGGGATTACAGGCGCCTATCTCTTTTTTTTTTGGAGATGGAGTCTGGCTCTCTCGCCCAGGCTGGAGTGCAATGACGCAGTCTTGGCTCACTGCAACCTGGGTTCAAGTGATTCTCCAGCCTCAGTCTCCCAAGTAGCTGGGATTACAGGCGTCTGCCGCCATGCCCGGCTAATTTTTTGTATTTTTAGTTGGGACAGGGTTTCACTGTGTTCCCCAGGCTGGTCTCAAACTCCTGAGCTCAGGCAATCCACTCACCTCAGCCTCCCAAAGTGCTAGGATTACAGACGTGAGCCACCGCGCCCAGCACCTGTCTCTTTTAAAAATATATTTTTTGCCCAACACACATTTCCAAGTTGCCATGGGGTAAACAAAATAAATTAAGCTGGCACAACTGAAAAAATAAAACTGGGGCCTTGGCCAGGCACAGTGGCTCAGGCCTATAATCCCAGCACTTTGGGAAGCTGAGGTGGGAGGACCACTTGAGCCCAAGAGTTTGAGACCAGCCTGAGCAGCATAGTAAGACCCTATCTCTATGAAAAATTTAGGCTGGCCGTGGTGGCTCACGCCTGTAATCACAGCACTTTGGGAGGGCAAGGTGGGCAGATCACTTGAGGTCAGGAGTTCGAGACCAGTCTGGCCAACATGGTGAAAACCCTTCTCTACTAAAAATACAAAAGTTAGCCAGGCATGGTGGCGTACGCCTGTAATCCCAGCCACTCTGGTGGCTGAGGCATGAGAATCACATGAACCTGGAAAGTGGAGGTTGCAGTGAGCCGAGATTGCCCCACCGCACTCCAGCCTGGGTAAGGAAGTGAGACTCTGTCTCCAAAAAAAAAAAAAAGATACTACAGACCAGGCGCGGTGGCTCACACCTGTAATCCCAGCACTTTGGGAGGCCAAGGTGGGCAGATCACAAGGTCAGGAGATCGAGACCATCCTGGCTAACACAGTGAAACCCTGTCTCTACTAAAGATTCAAAAAATTAGCCAGGCGTGGTGGCAGGCGCCTACAGTCCCAGCTACTCAGGAGGCTGAAGCAGGAGAATGGCATGAACCCGGGAGGTGGAGCTTGCAGTGAGCTGAGATTGTGTCACTGCACTCCAGCCTGGGCGACAGAGCAAGACTCCGTCTCAGAAAAAAAAAAAAAAAAAAAATCAAGGAGGCCCGGCAAGGTGGCTCACGCCTGTAATCCCAACACTTTGGGAGGCCAAGGCAGGTGGATCACCCAATGTCAGGTGTTTGAGACCAGCCTGGCCAACATGGCACAACCTGTCTCTACCAAAAATACAAACATGAACTGGGTGTGCTGGCGGGCGCCTGTAATCCCTGCTACTCGAGAGGCTGAGGTGGGAGAATCGCTTGAACCCGGGTGGTAGAGGTTGCAGTGAGCCAAGATTGTGCCACTGCACTCCAGCCTGGGTGACAGCAAGACTCCATCTCAGAAAGAAATAAGTACATAAATAAATAAATAAGTTAATAAAGGAAAGAAAATTTAAAATGAATTAGAGCTCTGCTAGGGGAAGTACTGACATATGATATTTATTGAGTGAGAAAAGTAAGATGCAAAAGTGTGTACGATATTACCCAATTTTGGTATAACAATGACCAAAACCCAGTGATCCTTTTCTATATGATGACGGGTGTGTGTGTGTGTGTGTGTGTGCGCGCGCGCTCACGTGTGTGTGTATTATGCATTCATGATAAAATTGTGTATAGGTGTGTGCATATGTAATAAAGCTATTTTTCAAGACAAATACTAAGACCAATTCATTGCAAAAAGAGAAAAGGCCCCGAGAAGAAAATAAAAATTAACTATAAGCCCCTCTCCTCCCCCATATACCACAAGAAACATCATATATATTTTTTTCTATGCTTACGTGTGTGTACTTTTTAATTAATTAATTTATTTTTTTGAGACGGAGTTTCGCTCTTGTCACCCAGGCTGGAGTACAATGGCGCAATCTCAGCTCACTGAACCCTCCGCCTCCTGGGTTCAAGCCATTCTCCTGCCTCAGCCTCCCGAGTAGCTGGGAGTACAGGCATCCGCCACCAGGCCCGGCTAATTTTTTCTATTTTTAGTAGAGACGGGTTTCACTGTGTTGGCCAGGCAAGTCTTGAACTCCTGACCTCAGGTGATCCTCCCACCTTGGCCTCCCAAAGCGCTGGGATTACAGGCATGAACCACCACACCCGGCCTGTGTGTTTACTTTGCACAAAATTAGGATCATATAGTTCATATTGCTTTTTTTTTTTTGAGATGGAGTTTCGCTCTTGTTGCCCAGGCTGGAGTGCAATGGCGCGATCTCGGCTCCCTGCAACCTCTGCCTCCTGGGTTCAAGCGATTCTCCTACCTCAGCGTCCCGAGTAGCTGGGATTACAGGCATGCACCACCACGCCCGGCTAATTTTGTATTTTTTTTTTTAGTAGAGACGGGGTTTCACTATGTTGGCCAGGCTAGTCTTGAACTCCCGACCTCAGGCGATCTGCCCACCTCAGCCTTCCAAAGTGCTGGGATTACAGGCATGAGCCACCGCGCCTGGCCCATATTGCTTTGACATCCATGTTTCTTCAGTCAACTTTTCTCATCTGTCTCTGAGCATTTGCTGATGCTCTTTTCTCTCCAAACCACCCCTCCTCTAAGCTCCCGTTTAAATGCTACCTCTTCTGAGAAAGCTTCCCTTTAACGTGCCTGACAGACAGTGGTTGGCGGCTCTGAATTTTATCATCACAGGCTCTCTCCCCTTCCTTGAAGCATGTTTAGGTCTACCTTGTATGAGAGTTTCTCGTGTGCTCCTCACCTCTCCTGTTAAACTGGGGAGCTCCTTGGGGGCAGGATCTCTGCCTCTTTCATAACTGTGTCCTCACGGTGCCTAGAATGTACACAGTAGGCACTTCATAAGCATCACTGTACAAAAGGGACATAGGTTTCCTGCCTGTCTTGTATGGAGTCATCTCAAGATAGTGTGCACTAAATTAGTCAAGGCGAATGGGGTAGATGCTTGGACACTGGAAGGAAGAGGTCAAAGCTGGGGAGCCGCCTCCAAGGCCTGGGGGATCCCCTTGGGACCACCCAGATCCACCCTCCACTCCTTCCCTGGGCTCTTCCAACTGCTCAGAAAGGAACAACCCACACACAGGGCTCTGTGTATGATATATATTTATATATATAATTGCTCTCATTTTATTTTACTTAATCCTCTTTTTACAGTAGATCTGACACAGGCATTAAATAACTGCAGAGAGAGACCATGGTAGGGCGGGTGCAGGAAAACATGGGGGCCCGAAGGGAAGAAACACAGATCCAGCTAGAGAAAAAGGGAAGGGTCCACCAGTGGGTGGAGTGTGGAGGCTGCGGCATTAAAAAAAGAAAAAGGTTAGCGAGGATGAGGAAGTGAAGAGCTGCTGGAGGACAAAGGGTTAAAATGCCTCTACAGCTACAGAATATTCAGAGCAGGAGGCAGGAGGCCCCTCATTTGACATTCTATGGGCATTATGGGTTTTTTGTTTTTGTTTTTGTTTTTTTAAAGGCAAAGGGGTCTGAAGGAGATGGAGCCAAGACATTCAGAGGCTAGATTTGGAACTTTCAGGCCAGCATGCGGAGGAAAGGGAAGGAGTTAGTGATTAGTTGATAACTTGCTAAGAGAAGCCAGAGAGAGGATGGTGGGGGCAGATCTGGGCTCAGGGGAAGGAGGTGGAATAGTCCCAAAGCCAGCCGATGTTTCCAAGGTGGCCACTGGGGACAGAGCCAGAATGGCCGCCCCTCCCCCAGAGCTCCCTGGGAAGTGGAACTTGAAGGATATTCTGGGAAGGCGAATGGGGGAAGGGAGCCATCCGTAAAAACAAAGTGGATATTCAGCCTAGGTCAACCCCGCCCCTCTGGGGAGCAGCTATTTGGGTGATAGAAGGGCCTAGGAAGAAACTGAAGGCCAGACGCGGTAGCTCACGCCTGTAATCCCAACACTTTGGGAGGCCGAGGCGGGCGGATCACCTGAGGTCGGGAGTTCAAGACCAGCCTGACCAACATGGAGAAACCCTGTCTCTACTAAAAAATACAAAAAAAAAAAAAAAAAAAAAAAATTAGTTGGGCGTGGTGGCGCATGCCTGTAATCCCAGCTACTCGGGAGATTGAAGCGGGAGAATAGCTTGCTTAAACCCAGGATGCGGAGGTTGCGGTGAGCTGAGATTGTGCCATTTCACTCTAGCCTGGGCAACAAGAGGGAAGGAAGGAAGGAAGGAAGGAAGGAAGGAAGGAAGGAAGGAAGGAAGGAAGGAAGGAAGGAAGGGAGGGAGGGAGGGAGGGAGGGAGGGAGGGAGGGAGGGAGGGAGGGGAGAGAAACGGGAAGAGAGGGAGGGAAGGAAGGAATGAAGGAAGGAAGGAAGGAAGGAAAGAGAGAGAGAAAAAGAAAGAGAAAGAAAGGAAGGAAGAAAGGAAGGAAGGAAGGGAAAGAAAGAAAGAGGAAGGAAGGAAGGAAGGAAGGAAGGAAGAAAGAAAGAAAGAAAGAAAGAAAGAAAGAAAGAAAGAAAGAAAGAAAGAAAGAAAGAGAGAAAGAAAGAAAGAAAGAAGAGAGAGAGAGAAACTGCTGAAGTCGGGGGTTGCCAGAGGATTTTCAGGAAGGGCCAACGCAGGCCTCGCTTCCAGTCCCTCATTTCCCAGCTCACAGAGTCACCAGAGGGTGAGAAGCAGAATGTGCCAGGAAAGAGGGAAAAGGCCACAGAACCACCTTGTCCTCAATTACAAAAAGGTGCATTTCAGAGGAGAGAATAGGGATGGAGAGGAGGAGAACACCTGCCCAGGAGCCAGATAAGTTCAAAGTCACCAAGATGGCGACTGTGTAGACAGGGAGAAAGTGTGAGAGATCAAGGACCAGTGGCTAGAGCTTAGGAATGGAAGGACGGAGTGCCACATTCATCTCTGGAAGCAAAGGGGTGAAATGAGACACGTGTGCACGTTTGTATGTGTGTGGGGGGTGGGGGTATGTAGCTGGGTGGGTGGGTCAGTGAGCACTTCCTGTAACTCTCAGGGGATATGCAGGCAGGAGAGTGGATAGCTCTCACAGCTAAACCAGAACTAGAGAGCCTCCTAACTCCTCTGTGGCCATCTTAGCCCAGCTCCCTCTCACTGATCTGAGGTTGGGAGAAGTTGGTTGGAAATGTGAGTGACGGGGAAGCGCAATGGACTTCAGGCTGGGTTGAGAAGTCAAGGAAAAGGGTGTGAGGCTCAGACAAGTCATAGCTCTGTTATCAAAAATACCTTTGGGGTGGGTGAGGGAGGGATCAGGCAGGGTCAGGGACATTCCAGGAGCATCCACAGGAGAGAGACGGGGTGGGAGGAAGGGGCCTCAGGTTTTGTTGATGCGGAGTTTGAAGGCCACACGGCCGGCGAACTTGTCTCGCTCATCATCTGTGGCGATGTTGGCGGCGTTGATGCGGCATTCTACATTCACCTCCACATTGGGGGTCACATTCAGGAACTTCACGGCCACCAGGGGCTGTGTGTAGTTCACCTGGGCCGGAGGAGCAGTGCAGGGTCTAGGCCTGGGGCGACGCGGCCTCCTTCCCTAGCTCACCACCCGCACCCGCCATCAGCCTGGGCCTCCCCTGGGACTTACGTGGAACTTCTTGCCATAGTAGGGGAAGTACATGAGGTCGATGTTACCGTTGGCAGGGAACATGACGAAGTTGCCGAGATTCTCAGCATCTTCATCTCGCTGTGGGGGTGCAGGAAGATAGGGTGTGAGCCAGTTAGGGATGGCAGGCACCCAGGAGCTCACCAGACTTCCATTTGTTCTTTTGTTCTTCCTTCGCCCCCGATTATTCCTGTCTCAAGTTTGTCTCCCTGGAGCTGTGAGTCTGTGTGAGTGTGTCTGCGTGTGTAGATGAGGGGATGGTCTGTCTCTGTCATCATTCTAGGAACTCCTGAAGGCTGCTAATGACACGAAAGCCTCCTACTCTACTCCTACCCCAAGTTCTTACCCCATCCTCAGGAATCAGTTTCTGGAGCAGAGCCAAGAAAGAACAGATACATGATTAAGGGTTGAATAGAAAGCAAGGAAGGGGATGTGGAGGGAGCAGCAAGTTTCTAGAAAGGACAGACCGGGGGGTGGGTAGGGGGGAACAGGGTCCCAAGGACAACAAAGTGGTGGCAGATGGTGCTAACAGATCAGCAGCTACCAGATACCTAGAAGGAACTGACGGGTGGGGGCCATATGGGAGGGAGAGCGAAAGATATGGACAATCCGGGAATAAAGGAGAAGGTGGAAGCGTTAGGGAGAGAAGCCAGAGGCCAGGGTGTTGGTGAAGGAGGGCGTGTGTCTGCCCCTAGGAGAGCAGGCCTCTGCATCCTAGAGAGAAGCTAGAGGGGTGCGAGGCCCTCGGAGTTCAAGCTACGGTGGAGCCCACAAGCCCACTCTTACCCCCTTGTTTCTATGTTGATGGGGCCTCTAGGAGCAAAGAAGATAGGGAGAGTCAGGTGAATTACACAGAAACCATGAAGGACACACAGGTGAGCAGGCAGAGAAGGCCCAACGAACTCACCTTCCCAGCACAGGTAACATTCATGGTCTGGTTTGCTCCTGCATAGAAGTTGATGACCTGGAGTGAGGATGGAAGGTGAAGAGAGTCAGAGAAAGAAGTTGTCAAAGATGGGCATCCAGACCAAGCTAAGCTACGGACTGTAGTCCCAACTACTAGGGAGGTTGAGGCGCAGTATAGCTTAATTTCAGGAGTTCAAGGCCAGTCTTGGCAACATAGCGAGACCCTGTCTTTAAAAAAAAAAAAAAAAAAAGGCATCCAGCCTTCTAGCTACAGAGCTTAGCCTCCAAGAGCCCCGCCTCTCTTTTCCTCTCAGCTACACAAACATCCAAGCCTCTCTCATGCCCATTAGCCCCAGTGAAAGGATGCAACTGTCTGCAGGTGGTGTCCCCAGATCCTTCCTCCGTTCACCCTGGGGACCAAGGTCATAGGTACCCGGTTCATCTTGATGAAGACACAGGGCTGCCCAGTGCTGTAACCATAGTGGGTGGGGTCTCCGATGCCGGAGCAGTTGCCCAGCTGGGTCCGGTTGAATTGGCAGGCACGTTTGGGGTAGTTGAGGACTCCATTATCAGGCTGTTCGTAATAGCGCCCAGGGCGGCAGACATCATTCTTTTGGGCTTGGATAGAGTCGTTGTAAGCTAAGGAGGTGGGAGGGAGAGAGTCAGGGGCCAGATGCTCCACTTCCAAGGTCCCCAGTCCCCTGCCTGAAGTCGTGAACTGCCACATAGCCAGGCCCACACTCACGCTCCAAGAACTTGTTGAGCTTCTGAACATGCTGGTCCCAGCTTTCAGTGTCACTGACATTGACAATGACATCAAGGTTCTCAGTCTTGGGACGAATCATCAAGCCTACAGCCGACAAAGGCAGAAGTTGGGGGTATCTATAAGATGAGGGGCTGCACACAGAGGGAAGAAAATGGACACAGGGAACACCAGGGTGGGGACAGCGGTGAATATCTGAGATGGTCTTCACGGGAGGGTGATCTCCCGTGGTTATCTGCCACATGCCCAAATCACACAGCTCCCAACTGCAGGAAATGGGAAGGTGGACAGATTCCAAGAAGAACTTCCCAGAACATGGGGATTGGGTTATCAGAATTAAACTTCTGGAAGGAACTATGAGTTCCTTCTGGAGGTTTGGGGGCACAAGAGCAGTTAGAGTAGCTGGCAGGGGGAGCCGCGACACTCACCCGGTGTAGCCAGTCGGTCCTGGTACTTGGGGGTATGGTCGGAGACAGTCTGCAGCATCACCCACATGGTGAGGGTGAACATGGCGGTGAGGAACCCATAAAAAACGAGGTAGAAGAGGAGGATAAAGGCTAGGGAGGAGGAAACAGGGTCAGCAGGGCCTAACATTCCCACCATAACCTCACCTATCCCCACACACCCCTCTACCCACTCTGAAGTTCTGCACTGGGACTGGTCACAGAGCCACAGGGATGTCTTAGAGCCTTCCCCTGGGAGCAAAATGAGACAAGCTGGAAGCAAGCAGTTGTGTCTGGCTTCCAGCCATGACTCCCAACCCCCTCCTGGTCCTAGGGCACAGTGAAGCCTGACCTTGTGGAGGCCACAGAGACCTAAACTCTCGTTGCTGGGGCAACTCCAAGTATAGGCTGCTGTTACTTTGCCTCCAATTACATTTCCAACTTCTCAACCATGCTTAGTCCTGAAAAGGCACACATCTGTTACCTCTGCATTCATACTCATGCTTAAAGCTGTGCTAGCATGGTGACTTTTTAAGCGGGTACTGGCCACCATTCACAAGCAAACTCTCATGCCACCCCGCAGAGCCTGGACCCTCAGATTTGAATAGCAAAATCTCTCTCCTGGTGCCCTTCAGAAGCCAGACTTTGAACACAGTTCCTAAAATGCAAGACCTAACACTCTAGCCTAGCTACAAATCTCTCAGAGACAGCTTGTTAGAACCTTCCACAGTCACCCCACCCTCAACTCACACCCAGCACCCTGGGCAGAGGCAAGGAGGAAAGGCAGAATCTCCCACAGCCTTCCCTTGGTGGGGTTTCTCCATGGCTCCCCTGCCTGAAGTAAGGGCCCAGGGGCCGGCTGTTCCCACCACCCTGGACTCCCAATCCTTCCATCTCAGAAGACACTTCTTCCATGAAGTCCTCTGGCTCTCCCAAGCATTGCTGGATTCTTTCATTCCAGGGGCTGGAGTTTGAGTTCCCTGAGGGCATGGATGGCATGGGACCCACCTCGTGGGCTCCTGAGTGGGTGGACGGATGGGGACAGTGACAAATCAGTGTGGAAAAATTGTAAACCGTGTCACACAGTGTCCCCTGTGTCGCAACGTCCCAGCTTGACCATCCCTCTTGGAAGAATTCCACCCCTCACCTGCACCTGTGCAGGTCACCAGACGCCCCCCCCCACAACTACTACAACTCCTTGAGTCCTGCCATGGTCAGCCTGGGGAGGCTCCCAAGTCATCCGACTGTCACAGACACCTGGCTGGCTGATGCACACAAATCACCACAGTGACCACTCCTCCCTCCGCCACCTACATGGGAGCAAAACCTGCAGCCTCGGAAAAACTCATACTCTCAGCAGCCCCCCAACCCACAAAGCAGTCAGAGAAGGCTCCCAAGGCCAGGCGGTGGGATACAACTTCCGCCGTGAAGAACCCCCCTAACACACCCCCCCAAGACCCGCCCCTTCATGAACGTTCCCAGGGTCCAGGGGGTGGGCATGAGCTAAAAATAGACGGGGCTGCCGAGCTAGTGAGAGCCGGAGGGAGGGAAGGGGCGCTCTTTGGAGGTGGGGGACGCCCGTGTGGAGCGGACAGGCCCCGAGAGGGAGTGTGAGCGCCACGGCGCGGACACGCAGGCAGAGCTGGCGACCCCCCGCCCGAGGGGGCTCCGCGGGGGGCGGGAAGGCGGCTGTGACCTACTTTCTCCGCCTCCGCACGGCCAGCCGGGGAGATTAGGCTGGCGATTCGGCCCCCTCCCAGCCCAGAGCCCGGCAGGGAGGCTTGACGCCGGGGACCCGGGAAGGGAGCTGGGGCCGCATCGGCGGGACCCTGCGCCCCCGAGGCGTCACCCCGCGGCTCTCCCCCGCCCGTTGCGTGCCGGCCCTGCGTACCCCAGCTGGTCCCTGTGCGGCCCATAAACTGGTGCGTCCTCGGGTTCCACACGAACTCCTTCCACTCCTCAACCACCTGCCCGCAGCTCTTCTTCTCTTTCTGGATGACCATCTTGGCGGCGCGGGTCTAGTCCGGGCGCGGGGCAGGGGGCTGCGGAGAAGCGGGGGCGCCGCGCGCTGAAGCCCTCCACACAACCAAAAGCGCGGGGAGCAAAGGCGGCGGAGGCAAAGGAGACCCCCCTCAGATATGCAGCTGCTGCAGATTCCGGGATGCACGGCCACGCGCTGCGGGGTGCTGGCAGCGCGGCGGAAGATGCACCGATCCTAGGCCCCCCAACTGCGATGAAAAGGGGTGCTGTCAGAGCAGGAGAGAATAACAAGAGGAAGGGGTATGAACGCAGCTTCACCCTCGCCAAACCGTCTAGAAACAAAACGAAAAGGGGTGCAAAAGCAGACGGCTACAAAAGCCGAGCAGAATGCAGAAAAAAAGCGGGGTACAAAAAGGCAGGGAGAGGTGGGGGAGGGGGCCGCCCCGAAATTCAAGATGCAAAGAAGCTGTGGAACGAAGCTCAAGGCTCCCTCCGCCAAGCGGAGACCACTGCACCAGTGGTGGCTCAGCCGCGGGGGTGGGGCGGGGACGCGCAGTTGGGGGACAGCCAGGGATGGGGGGCCCCCCAAGCGGAGGCTCCGCTCCTCAGCAGTGCGGGGCCCGCGGTCGCCGAGCGCGGTCTTTATACTCTGCGGCTCTGGGGGTGCCCGCCCCCTTCCCACCCCCAGAAGCTCCGCCTCCTTGCCACTGGCCCAGGCGACCTCATACATATGTAAATATGGAGAGGTTGGGCCCGCCCCCCTGCCTCTTCTAAGGGACCTGGCGGTCTCTCCATTACCCCCACCCCAAGTACTGGACTGGGACAGGGTGGGAGGAAGAGATAGAGGGCGTGTCCGGGCGGAGTAGAAGGAAAGATAACCCCAGAGAAACGCAACGACAGAGAGAGAAGCTGATGATATATGCTCAAAGGTGGGGGCCCCAGGCAGGGAGTTAGAAAGAGAGTAAGATATACATGCGGTGGAAGAGTCCAGGAGCAGATGGGGCAGAATGTCAGAGGAATAAAGAGCTAGAGATCAAGAAAGAGAACGAAGAGACCAGCCGCGAGGCTGGCCAAGGGAAGCTAGGACAGGCCACGCAGAGATGGATAAAGGCCACCCTCAGAGGGACGTTCCCGTGTTGGGAACCGCTACCAGTCCCCAAGATGCCTCCTTCTCCAATCTCACAGCCCCTGTCCACACCACCTGGGTCTGTCCACGTGCAGAGGCTTCCCCACCTTCCCATCACGTCTCCCTGAAGCCCTCTCAACACCACATTCCCAGTCCCCAGCACTGCCCTGAGACCCCAGCCCTGCAGCCAGGTCTACTTCTGTTCTCTGCCTCCTGGCAGCCCCACCCCGACGTCTGAACTCCCATCCTTATATGTCTACTTGGGTCAGCAAACATTTATTGAGCACCTCTATAGACTGTGTACTGTAGCCCTGGGGAGGCCAGAGAGGTTACACTCTCACAGGGATCACAGTCTAGGAGGGGAGTACACTTGCCTCTAAATACCACATGCTAAGAATCATTATCTCAGGCCGGGCACGGTGGCTTATGCCTGTAATCCCAGCACTTTGGGAGGCCAAGGCGGGCAGATCATGAGGTCAGGAGTTCGAGACTAGCCTTGCCCACATGGTGAAACCCCATCTCTACTTAAAAATGCAAAATTAAGCAGGGCGCGGTGGCTCATGCCTGTAATCCCAGCACTTTGGGAGGCCGAGGCAGGTGGATCATGAGGTCAGGAGATCGAGACCATCCTAGCTAACATGGTCCCTACTAAAAATACAGAAAAATTAGCCGGGCATGGTGGCGGGCACCTGTGGTCCCAGCTGCTTGGGAGGCTGAGGCAGGACAATTGCGTGAACCCGGGAGGCTGAGCTTGCAGTGAGCCGAGATTGCACCACTGCACTCCAGCCTAGGCAACAGAATGAGACTCTGTCTCAAAAAAAAAAAAAAAAAAGCAAAATTAGCAGGGTGTGGTGGTGTGCACCTGCAATCCCAGCTACTCAGGAGGCTGAGGCAGAATAGCTTGAACCCGGGAGGTGGAGGTTGCAGTGAGCCAAGATCGCACCAGTGCACTCCAGCCTGGGCAATAGACTAAGACTTCGTCTCAAAAAAGAAAAAAAAAGAAAATCATTATCTTGACCACGCCCAGTGGCTCATGACTGTAATCCCAGCTCTGTGGGAGGCTGAGGCTGGCGGATCACCTAAGCAAAGGAGTTCCAGACCAGAGCTCAGGAGTTCAAGACCAGCCTGGCCAACATGGTGAAACTACGTCTCTACTAAAACTACAAAAATTAGCCGAATACAGTGGTGGGAGCCTGTAACCCCAGCTACTCAGAAGGCTGAGGCAGGAGAATCACTTGAACCCAGGAGGCGGAGGTTGCAGTGAGCCAAGATTGCATCATTGTGCTCCAGCCTGGACAACAGAGCAAGATTCTGTCTCAAGAAAAAAGAAAAATAATCATTATCTCCACCTCTTTTAATCTTTCTTCAAATCTTGGGAGAGGTTTTTCTTCTCCTTTCAACTGTTACCTTAAATCCTTAGCCCAAGTTCTCAACACCTCACATCCAAACTGTCATCCACGTCCTCAAACCCACTCCCTCCAGTCCAAGGCCAGCTTCCTGACATGGGACCTCCACAGTCATGCAAGGCCCATGCTCATAGTTGTTTGGTTTAAAACTCTGCTATTGGCCGGGCGCGGTGGCTCACGCCTGTAATCCCAGCACTTTGGGAGGCCGAGACGGGAGGATCACGAGGTCAGGAGATCGAGACCATACTGGCTAACATGGTGAAACCCCGCATCTACTAAAAATACAAAAAAAAAATTAGCCAGTCGTGGTGGTGGGCGCCTGTAGTCCCGGCTACTGGGGAGGCTAAGGCAGGAGAATGGCTTGAACCCAGGAGGCGGAGCTTGCAGTGAGCCGAGATGGCGCCACTGCACTCCAGCCTGGGCAACAGAGCAAGATACCGTCTCAAAAAATAAATTAATTAATTAATTAATTAAAAATAAATAAAACTATGCTATTGCTTTTCTTTCCCCGCCAAACATTTATGGAGCTGAATGCCATCGCTGTCTTGAAATTCTTCATAGTTCTATCTTTGAATTTGTGCTTTGTAAGTGACATCCAGTGGAGCATTGGCACATGCCTGTGAGCAAGGAGATACGTCCCATTCACACAGCGTTCCAGATGCACCACGAGCACAGAATTCTGGGGGACCTACAACGTGTGGGAGTTCAGCCAGATTCCAAATGAGTACAAGGTAAGCATGTTATGTCTACAACTGAATACGTGAGACTGAGCGTGGCCAACTGCTAAATTGGACATGAACATGGAAATGTTCCCTCTGCAAGGAACCTCAACAACAATGGCCCCTGCCTGTAATCTCAGCACTTTGAGAGACCCAGGCGGGAGCATCTCTTGAGCCCAGGAGTTCAAGACAAGCCTTGAGCTTGACCCCATCTGGCGAGACCCCATCTCTATGAAAAACTTATTTAAAAATTAGTCAGGCATTTTAGCCAGGTTAGACTAGTAGCCACCTCTAGTCCCAGCTACTTAGGAGGCTGAGCTGGGAGGATTGGATCGCTATGATCACACCACTGCACTCCAGCCTAGGTGACAGAGCAAGAGACTATCTCAAAAGAAAGAAAAAAGAAAAATAATTCTATTTTGGTTGCAGTGAGCCAAGATCGCACCATTGCACTCCAGCCTGGGCGACAGAGGGAGTCTCAAAAATAAACAAATAAACGAACAAAAAACATTTAAACATGAAATAGCAAAGAAAAAAACACCATGAGAAAGGCAGGCATGGTGATACGCGCCTGCAGCCCTAGCTACCCAGAGGCTGAGACTGGAAGGTCGTTCACGGACGTGCTGGGTACTGTGGCTCGCACCTGTAATTTCAGCACTTTGGGAGGCTGATGTGGGTGGATCCCTTGAGTCCAGGAGTTCCACACCAGCCTGGCCAACATGGCAAAACCCTGTCTCTAGTAAAAATACAAAAATTAGCCGGGCATGGTGGCTCATGCCCGTAATCCCAGCTACTCAGGAGGCTGAGGCGGAAGAATTGCTTGAACCTGGGAAGTGGAGGTTGCAGTGAGCCAAGATCACGTCACTGCACTCCAGTCTGGGTGACATAGCCAGACCCTGTCTCTAAAACAAAAAACCATGAGAAGTTGAAAGGACTATGGATGAAAGGAAAATAGTTTAGGCCGGGTGCGGTTGTTCACACCTGTAATCCCAGCAGTTTGGGAGGCCAAGGTGGGTGGATCATTTGAGGTCAGGAGTTCAAAACTAGCCTGGCCAACAAGGTGAAATCCCGTCTCTACAAAAAAATACAAAAATTAGCCAGGCGTGGTGGTAGTCCCAGCTACCCGGGAGATTGAGGGAGGAATCGCTTAAACCCTGGAGGCAGAGGTTGCAGTGAGCAGAAATCATGCCACTGCACTCCAGCCTGGGTGACACAGTGAGACTCTGTCTCAAAAAAAAAAAAAAATTATATTTTAGTGCCTCTAAGGGCACTTTTCCCCCTAGGTTTTGAACAAGAGTCCCTGTATTTCCATTTTGCACTGGGTCCTGACAGTTATGCAGCTGGCCCTGCTTCAGTCTATTCTGCAGCAGACTCAGGACTAATTTTCTCAAAATACAGCTTTAATTAGGCCACTCCTCAGCTGAAAGTTCTTCAGTGGCTTCTTATTACCCTGCAGGATAGAGTCCTGATTCTTCAGTCTAACCTGCAGGATACTCTGCAGTCTACTCCCATCCTGTGTCCCCAGCCTCCTTTCCCACTAGTCCCCGACTAGTCCTCTCCTGGAGCCAAGCCACGCACTCCTGGGGTAGACTGCACTTACTCCTGACTTCACACCTCTGTGCATTTCATTCCTTTGTCCTGGAAGACTACCTACCCTTCAGAGGCCAGCCCCAACTCCCATTCATGCATTCGACGCATACCTTTTTTTTTTTTTTTTTTTTTTTTTGAGATGACGTTTCACTCTTGTCATCCAGGCTGGAGTGCAATGGCACAATCTCAGCTCACTGCAACCTCTGCCTCCTGGGTTCAAGAGATTCTCCTGCCTCAGCCTCCTGAGTAGCTGGGATTACAGGCACCTGTCACTGCGCCTGGCTAATTTTTGTATTTTTAGTAGACACGGGGTTTTGCCATGTTGGTCAGGCTGGTCTTGAACTCCTGACCTTGGGTGATCCACCCACCTTGGCCTACCAAAGTGCTGGGATTACAGGCATGAGCCGCCGTACCCGGCCTAATAATGTTAATATTATGCAGGAAAGATAGAACAGGCTAATGTACCAGAGAGTGCCTGGATGGTCAGGAGTGGCCTTACTGAGATGGCAACTTTTTTTTTTTTTTTTTTTTTTGAGACGGAGTTTCTCTCTGTCACCCAGGCGGGAGTGCAGTGGTATGATCTAGGCTTACTGTAACCTCCGACTCCAGGGTTCAAGCAATTCTCCTGCCTCAGCCTCCTGAGTAACTGGGACTACAGGTGCGTGCCACTACGCCCAGCTAATTTTTTTGTATTTTTAGTAGAGACAGGGTTTTACCATGTTAGCCAGGATGGTCTCAATCTGCTGACCTCGTGATCCGCCCGCCTCGGCCTCACAAAATGCTGGGATTACAGGCGTGAGCCACAGCACCTAGCCTTTTTTTTCTTTCTTTTTTTTTTTTTTGAGACAGAGTCTCTGTTGTCCAGG